ACCCATTACCGGAATAATGTTTTTCTCTGTAGTAGTATAATAAAAAATTGTTAGTCCTAGAGCGAAAAACATCTTTGTATGCTCGTGGATACACATACCCAGTTCTACATTAACAGTTTCATTTATGCGTACAACGCTTAACAGTTACTCATTATGTGTTTAAATAATACGCACTAAACAGTAGTTAATTAAGTACATATTGATATATTTGAAAGTACCGAAAAGTGATAATATACAGTGCATACAATATGCATGTGTCTAGGTCATCGATTAACTGTACCGAGAAAGTTCTCAAAAGCTTGCACTTTTGATGCAAGTGGGTCAAGCATTTGAATTTGAACGTGAATTTGAACAAAAAATCCTTTTCGACTTTTGATAAAATATTTATACAATCAATTAAATGAAATCTTTTCAAAAGACAGTCCATGATTTTTCATTGGAAAAGTAAAAACGTAATAATTATGTCTAAACGTTTATTCGCTCGTACAAAAACCTTGTATATAGATATATGTCAGCTTAAGATGACATCATAAAACCACTTTACACACTAGGTCAACTTACTTATTACTTTACATGAGTATGCAATAAATGATTGAATGGAATTGAATTGACTTCATACTTACCACCATATCTACCCATTAAGTCCTGTATGAGGAATATAGCCTTCCACGCTGAATAGTTCTACACTTTCTTCCCTTCATCAGTTTTAACGGAATCGTAAGCATAAAAACATATAGTAAAACAGTACTTTTACTATGTCACCACACCCACACCATTTAGTTCGCTTAATTCCAAAAACTAAGAATGAATCCAAAAATATGTAGATTTCTATTGAATCGTTCAAAACTACTCGTATTGTAATATTTTGTACATCTTAAATTCTTGAATACCGTTAAGTTTAAAAATGTTGATTCAGTCAATTTTATCTCCAACCAAATAAGGTTCTAAATGCGTTAAATAAGTTTTCTCAACTGTCTCTCAAACTCCGATGGCCTATTCACAATGTAGCAGCCTCTCTTCAGTGAATCACCACAAACGTGTGCAGCACATATGAAATTCAAACCAATTACCAAGTCCGTGGAACGTAACGGTCCTGTATGTAGTTTGCATTCAGCTTGTCAGTTTCGCTGTTTCCTTGATTCATCGTCATTTATATGAATAAAACTATTTCCTTGTTCTGTATGAACATTGTTCGAAATTATCTATTCAAATTAAATGACAGCACTTATTATATTCAATTAGGCATGCCTTTGTCGTCGGAATTATAGAGTTCGGTATGGTTTTGACGCAGCATGGAAGTTATGAATGTTTAATGTCTTTTTTCTTTTTCCTGTTCAAATGCTCCATTAGTCTTTTGTTATAGGTTCTAGATATTATTCGCACTTACTAAATTTATAAAAGTATATTGAAACATTTTTCTAACATGACTAGAGTATGTATCTAAATATAATTCCAAACCAAGTCAACATTATGTATAAGTTTTAGAATTATATTTATAATTATTATCTTCATACATGCGCTTATACATACATATATGTATATTTACCATTAATAAGGTATAATCTCTATTCACCAAATCAGTGTACACATAAATAATTACATACTCATAGATCTACATTAACTTACATACATATAATCATCCCGTTCCCGACCACGGTCCGAGCATAAAATAGGTTATCCCTTCCTTATGGGTAGCAGCATCTCTCTTAAAACATCACCAAACCTAACCAATCCCCTGCTAAGCGTGGCAACTACTAGCAAACTCCACTTCATACGGGAAATCTATGTTCAACAGTAGACAGTTAATGGCTGATATGATGATAATGACGATATATATAAATCACGGCATAAAATACTGCATAACTATTATTATATACTAATTAATATAATAGTAATATGACCCTAAAAAGTCATGTGTTTACTCGGTAGCGTCACTAGCACTCTACCACTCCCATTGGTTTCACAGAAAATTAGTGTTTGGACGTTATGTATGAATAGTCTAGTCAGCTAAATCTAGTCACTTAGCTGAGTGGTAACCATTTTGGTCGCATAATTCATAATCAGTTATAAGCTTATTTATGCGGTTTTTTTTAAGTTATTGTTATTATTGTTTTTTTATTTGATCCAATTCTAATGAACAGTAAAAACTTTTGTCTGACTACTTTCGACTTCTCACGATTCAAAAGTTTTAAAATCTTTACTTATTGCTATTGCACGTACACAAATGTTTGACAGCCTATAATTTACTGAAAATGTAGAGACGACGGTTGCAAACTATTGAACTGTACGGTAAGTAATTAATTGCTGAGCAGAGTCGAGAATTGCAAGTAAGTGAACGATTCATACGTGAATGTATACGACGACACTTCAACATTGATAAGGGGTGACACTCCGGAAAATTTAAAAATACCAAAAGTGGATTACAATAAAGGCTATTTATTTTGGGTTGATTTTTATTTAAAACAACTCTCAGGTGAAAATAGAATATCGAAGTACGGTATGGGATTGTAGAGAACGAGACATGTTTGTTTAAATGATAATTGATTTGATATTACATTTTAAATTATAATAGATACTATGATAGAGATGGATTTATAAAGAATACATAAATCTTAAATTATGATTAGGAATACATTGCCATACATATTATCTATAATATAATAAAAGAAGTATACCTTTCTCCTAAATATACCTTAATCAACTTTCATTTTATATATGTAACATGTAAAATTTGCTGCGTGGTCCCGACATAGAATAGGCCATCCTTTCTTTTCCCGTAAGAAGCGACTAAGGGAACTTGATGGAACACCAATGTCTAACTGCGATTGCTAACCCGCCTGCCAAACGTGGTAATTACTGGCAAACCCCTCTCTCCCTTACGGGGGAGGCCTATGTTCAGCAATGGTCAGTTACCAACTGATATAATAAAAAAAAAGTGCAAAACAATAAAATATTGGTTCAATTACGTTTATTTGTGAGATCTTGGTAAAGCTATAAAATAGGTATCAAAAAGACTTTTATGTTTCCAAGCATGACCATTTGCGATTATAACAAAACGTCTTACTAGCTCACATAAGTAGCTATGTATATCATTCCAATTGGAATTACCACGTTTACGAGTATTTTTATCACAATTTTTAGTTTTTCTGAGATACTGAGACTAATATTTTTAAACACTTTTTTTTTATTTTTATCGAATTTATGGATATTGTTCTGTTATTTTTTTACACCTTTTTTCTAACTACCTATATAATCTTAACTTTATAACTATTTTTACAATCAAGTTATTTACATTCACATTTATTATGGACTTTCTTATGAATCCTAGTCGACAATTATAGGAAAAATAATCTAAAAATTAAAACCACGTGTAAACAACTACTTAATCGTTCATCTAATAAAGGACGATTAATTACTTCTAGTCCTTTCTCGTTAGGATCCCATGCTAATAAATCTTTGGCCAGCAACGCCATTAATTTAATGAGTTTCATTAACAATGCAACATTAGCCAATAAGTTAAATAGCTTAAAATATTTTTAGTTTTTATTTCTAAATGTGACCATTATTTAATTGTTTCTTATGACTAATGAATTAAATATGCTATTGGATTTCAAACTTCAAACAAACATATTAATATTAATTAACAGAGGCATTTATATTCTGTGACAAATATTGACTAGAAACGAAACCCGCTATTAGCTGAAAAGTAAATAATTGTAATTTTATTGAAAGAATAACTGATACTTTCAATTAAGTTTCTAAGTATACTTTTTACCATAGTTCAATTGACTGACTCTTAGTGTAGCTTATCTCGACAATGATGGATAAACGGTTTATCTCTAAAGCTTACCAGAACTTGCGTAATAGCTTTAAGTCAAAGATCATTTAATTCCTTGGGAACTCAATTAACACAGCTAGTAATTAATGACTTTAATGAGAGTTGGCGTAGGTAGGTACCTAATATAAATCTAATTGTTTAATACTAAACAAATAGCAAGCTATCTAATGAGACTGTGTCCTCCGATTTCCAACTACAAGCTAAAATATTTCATTGAAACAATGGATTTAAATTTACAAATCCATTCAATAGCTACTCAGTTGTTGTTTGTCTTACAATTATTAAGTAGACAAAAGCTTCAGTCTTTGTACGAACTTGTGTTAAACGACTTGTGAAGGATAGAAACTTGATACAATTTTATGTAATTGATGACTAGTTCCACTCGACCAATAAGACTTCTTTGATACTATTCAGAAGCTGGTGGTAAACAGAAACAATACTGTCAATTATAAAACGCCATTTTTTAATTCTCTATCTTTAAATCGAAAATTTTAATTTAACTTTAATATTATATTTGAATTATTATTGCAAAGACTATTACGAATGAAATTATTTGAAGATTTTTGTCTAGAGTAACCTTAATTCTTGACAGTCCCTATTTATTTATTTACACTTTAATGCACAATGAAATTACGTATATATGGCGGACTACACAGCGGACGGCGTTCTTTACCAGTATTATTTTTTTTAGATCAGCTGTGTATTAAAAAAATTAAATCTAGAGTTAGAGCACTTCAAAATCTACTATCTAAGACGTCTTAAATGTAATTAAGTACAATATATAAGTATCTTCTTACGAGGTTCCAAACAATAACATACCACACATGATACTAAGAATGCGATAACAGCGGACAATAAACTTTGTGTTAGTTTTCAAACACGAACTCTTGTATACACTTCGAAGTAATTGGATGACAATAAACGACCTCTTGCCTGTTAACTGTATATCCTTTTAAGTGATCTTACAAATAGGTATACAATGTGAGCATTAACCAGCGATAACTATTCAACCACGGTCAAATAGCATTCCATTGACCACATCTGAATCTAGATTAACCGACTTACAATCGCCGCAACCTACAACAAAATATGTGGGTATGTTCATTTCGCCTCGAATGAATTAATATAGGTATTATTTTTCATTATGGTCCGTTTTACTTACCGGTTTAGTGGGGACTTCGCCCAGCCATGACATTAAGCTCACACATGCACACCGACAGCTTAAAAACAAACTTTATAAAGTTTTTAAAAGTTACCGAACTCACAAGCCGTATGGCTCACTTCGTTGTGAGGAATTCATAGAGTTAGAAGTGAATCTTATGTTGTAACAGAGCTTTTTTGTTGACAGAACAGGTTTGAAAGTGAGTTTGTAAGTTTGTTATAGACGGCGTCGCGGACGAGCGTGCTCCTGGCACACGGACACTCGTCGGAAGGTACCACGCGGTATGAGTCGACGAGCGGTTGCAGCGCGGAGGCGGGAGCGGAACGGCAACGGCGCAGCGCTACCCAGCGCGAAAGCGGGGGAGGGGCTCCGATACCTCCGTGGCCCACCTTACATGATGGCGTCATTGTTTCATCATTTGTTATCTCATAGCTCCCGTAGGAAGGATTATGTATCGGTGCATCTACATTGGTAAATTGGTTCTGAGCCGCGTCCTTATACGACAGATGATTCTGCAACTTGACTGAACAACGACGAGAACGTAATTTACAACTTTCATTGTTAAGTCAGTAAGTAAAACTTCGGTAATAAGTTTGTATTCATTTTACTTTTGTTTAAAAAATCTATTGTGTAAAGTCTTGACCAATAATTGTGTATCAGGTGCACCTACAATAAAACTATTATACAATATGGGAACTTAGATAGATACCTACTTACATATTAGTAGTCATAATCTTAGACTTCTAATTAAAACTATACGATAATTAATTCATATAAGGCAACTAATTTCTTAGCTTAATTTCTTAGATTAAAAGTTATGTATATACATAATAAGAATTTAATTTGTATCTACGTATCTATTTAATTAAACGTAACTCTTTATCTACATCATGATCAAAAGAGTAGGGTATTATTTAATTATTACATTTAAAATATTAATTATACTACATTATTATTATTAAAAATTTAACAATAAAAAGCTATGCGAGGGGACGTATAACACATCCAATTGGAATATGCATTCTAACAATACTATCTACTAAAGTTCCGGTGACTCATGCTTGGTCAACCAAACCAACTACAAGTCAACAGATTATAAGGTCCATAATATTCTATCTCTCTCTAACATTTTATTGTTCATATACGGCCTTCTCGTTGCATTGTTAAATAGGGTTTAACTATTTATTACGGGTTTTAAATGTATTTATATCTAAAGCTAACCCTTATCCCACGCAAGCTTACATTCGGAGTATTGTCTATATTTTAAAAAAGTTTCGTATAACGGAATTTTAGTGTATAAATTTTAATGCTTCCAATAATATTTTTGTATTTACTTATATGTATAATAGTTTAATTTGCATACAATATATGCGTCATCTCTAAAATTGATAAAAGATTCGTAAGAACATATTATATTTTAATATAGTAACTACCGGTTTAAATTACGTGTAATTAGATAGAAAAAGCTCAACTAGTTTTGGAATCAATTCGTGATTCTTAGTCATGAGCGACTGTTACGCAAGCACAAGCCTGACTAAGTGCCTCGACCCGCTGAGCGCGAGCTGTAGAGGTAGACTATAGAGACCAATCATTCATACCCGAAGATCAAGATTCATACAGTCAGGCTCATGCTCGCGTCATAGTCACTCATGACTAAAAATCACGAATTGATTCCAAAACTAGTCGACCTTTTTTTTTATCTAATTACACGTAAGTTATACGAGTAATTATTACATTAAAATATCTCTATAATTATTGAAAACTCGTTCCTATTTAATAATTATACTGAAGCGCTTTAATTGAGATAAAACAGTTGTAATTGAAACTACGTATACCTACAATAATTCATCTGGATATTGAAGTCTTTAAAGTCTTTCTTTTAATTTTAATACTATTTCTAATTTACAAGAAAATTACAAACCATTTTTATCTTGTTGTAATAATAACTAGAATTTTTATAAACAAATTAAACAGTCATATTATGTCTGTGGTTCAAAAATGCTATTGAAAATATAAGATATTGATACTGATAGTTCTTATCACGGCTCCTGCGACATCCACTACAAAATACTACTTACACTAGTAAAATATGGTAATTAAAAACGGTAGTGGATAAAATTTCGACTTATTTTGTCTAAACATGTCAATTGCTGCAATTCAAATTGTCTTCTTTTCCATGACACATGAGTGATTTGCAAAAGAGACAAATTGCACAAGGAATATCTTCTTTACATTGTTAGAATAAACACAAAACCTTTTGCCTTGCTTTACTCATGATAATTTGAAATTAAGTAACCTTTTCTTTTTATTACATAAAGTTTCAATTTCAACAATATTGCGATAAATTTCTGTAAAGAAATCGAAGTAAAATGTCAAATTTACATCGACAATTTAACGATTAATTAGTTATAAAATTCATAGAGAATTTATCTAATAATAATTTTAGGGCTAAATATAATATTATTACTTCCAATTAAAAGAAAGTTAATAAGTCTACTGTTAATGAACTTATTTACCTTTGTTCTTAGTAAATACTTTCTTCCTTTCTGTAAAGTATTACCCACGGTTTCTATCGAGTTTGACCGACCTTGACCTACGTCAGTGGACTGAGAGAAAAGCGAGGCGAATGACGGCACACCACTATTACCAGTGAGAGGACTCATCTTACGCTTCAACATGCCTTGTAACTATTTCAGTGCCTACTTTAATTCGGGGTATTGCACAAATAGGCAGTGTGTTTTTATTTATAACAAAACTTTTTCATCTGCCTCCTACTTTATTATGTAAATCACAGAAAAATATAATTAGGACTGGACTTTTCCTTTCCCAAAATTCATGGTATAATATAATTTCTGTTTAACACATTTCAGATAAAACATTGCTATATTATTTTTCTATCCATTCGTACGTTCATATTAGAAAAATAATATATATTTTTCTAACAGGCAGACTTTGGCTAAAATAATAGTAATTGCTGATAAATACCTAAATAAATCACTAAGCACAGCTGGTATTGTATTAAATTAATAATACTCAGGAAGAATTAACTTGAAATTTAAAATTTATACACTCACAATTTAAAAATCACGTGAATTTTAAACCGTTATCTTTTATCATGATTTAAAATTTCTAATACAAGTTTTCTAATGTGATAATTAACTTTGGTTAATACCTTTTTTAACTAAGTATATAGTTCTAATTCCATAAAGATTTTTTTTTTCTATTTATCATTACGACATTTTAAAAGTTGAATGACATAAGCTATTACTGTACAACTATGCAATTCCATAAACTTATCAATGACTCGCACTTGTCTCACTTTTTGGTGATTGAAACGCTTCGCTATTTGAAGAATCATTAAAAAACAATTTCCTATCAGATAACATCTATATGATGACACAACTTAAACTTACGTGCGTGCGTAACTGTAGCTAACAAAATACTTACTTTACCTTTATGGTAATTTTTTTTTCCAACCAGGATAGGTTTTGTACTTTGTAAATAATGGTAATATTACCCGCTATTCAACAATTTCCCCAACGTCATTATTCTTATTAATACAGGCTTCAGGTGAATAAAACAAGCTCAACGGACTGCTTGCATAAATTCTGATAATGTATAGTGTGTGATAGTCCAGAGATTAACACTTCTATTTACAAAAATATTTTAACAAATTATTTATTATATTGTATTATATATTAAAATTTTTATTATTAATATACGTTTAATATTGTGTTCATTAAGTACATAATGTAGTTTAAGCTTAAGGAATACATAAAGTCACGTCGTCGCACATCGGTATTGTGGGGCTGTACGCCATTAGCCAAGGCGGAGTGAATGACAGTCAACATTTTGGACTCCTTTCGTCTCCTTTCGTATTTTTATATAATGTGCCGTAGCTATTATTACGTGGCACCAACAAAGGGCGTCCGCAATCTCAAAAACCGCTGATCCCGACCCAGCTTTAATTTCAGCTGAAGTGAAATCGACTGAAGTGTACACGCTTTCGCTCTTATTCCCCTCGACCCTTGCTGGGGAACAAAAAAAAATATACGCTTCGAAAAAAGTTTCATCTTGTGCTCTACGAACTTCGTCGCATGAATATTTGAATGGCGCATCTAAAGAAACTGAAAACTAAAATAGTTTTCTTTTTAAAAGAAAATCTCTAGAAATGTTAGGTTTTCTGACAGCTTCTTTTATTAAAACTAATATATGTATATTGATTTAGACAACATAGGTGTGCTTTATCTATATAAAGATATCTATATAAGAAGGTCAATCTATTACAATAATTTTTGTATAAAATATTAAAAAATATTAATTATTGACTATGTTTCAACCCGCATCTCTCTGTTATTCGGTCATGTGTGTTCTCAATTAAACAATGGAGAGAATATAAGATTTAAAAAATTGTATATTCCTGTTATATTGTTTTATTTTTCCTGTAATATTCATGTATACCTTTACAAACTGTAACTACTTCAAATAATAAAACAATGTTTTAAAATGTACAAATTCATTTTAATATTTTAAGTACCCCTTTTGGACCGAGGAGTTCGAAAACAAATATATTTCTCCAATTGTTTTTATTACAATATACCTATGTGGGCAAACAATAAGTAAAACTATTTCAAATATCAAATCTACGGCATTAGAGTTGCTGAGATATACGGCTGTGACAAACAGAGAGACCGACCGACAGATAAAGTTGCACCGTAAAAGATTCCTTTGAACCTTTTTGATACGGAATCCTAAAAATCTATTTGATCTGCGAAATGTTTAATCCAATCACTTACAATACTGAAAAATTACGTTTTCGTTTGGCTTTAAAAAAAGTATGTGACAAATTTCAATCAATGGAACGTCACTTTAGTTGACTACATTTTGACCCGTTTTGGACACTCAATAAACATTGTGGACGATATTATGGACTGTATATTGATGTATATGTTGTAATCAAACAATTGGTTTAAAAGGAAAATAACTATAATACAGAAAACTATGAAATATAGACTACGACAGCAAAGAGCAAAAGTGACAATTGGTGGAAACAAAAGTATAAAAATACAATAAAAATAAAAACCTTTAAAAATAACTAAGGAGTTCGCAACATTACCGACCCCTGGTGCAGAAATGCACAAATTCGGTAGCAAGCCAGGTTAAACAAAAAAAAAAATAAAAACTTAGAGGTTTAACCTGACTAACTTTTTGGAAGGTCGGCGAAGCAAACCGCCTGCTGTCGCTACGTCCACCACCCTAACAACGCCATCGTTGCCTGGGAAAGTTGCCGTGACACGTCCACGGGGCCACGTTCCTCTTGGAAGATTCTCGTCTACGATCACAACCAAATCGCCAATGTTCAAATTACGATCTCTTCGACCGTTCAGACGAGGCTGCATAGTAGGTAATATTTCTTTCACCCACCGATTCCAAAAGTGATCAGCCAGACGAAGCGCCTTCTTCCAATCCGCTCTTCGGCCCAAGTCAGTATCATCTAACACTCCGGCTGTCATCTGATTGGAAGATGAACCGATCAGAAAGTGAAATGGCGTTAAAGTTTCCTCGCTATCGGATTCAACCGAGACATAAGTAAGAGGTCGTGAGTTAACAATTGCTTCGGCTTCAGTCAACAACGTAAATAGTACCTCCTCTTTAGGTGACCTTTCATGTAGTGTAGCTTTTAATGCAACTTTTACACAGCGAACAAGTCTTTCCCAACAACCTTCAAAAAAAGGCGCAGCAGCTGGGATGAAGCTCCACTTTATGCCTCTCTTGGCAGCAATATCTCTTCTTGCTATAAATCTCCGTATGCTCATAATAGCTGAATTAGCAGAGAGGTTGTGGACAAGCTCTAAATGGACAGCTCTAGACGTCAAACAAGCGTCAGGCAAGTAAATAGCGCAACATAGCGCTTTTCATGTCTTCGACCAATAGTGACATTGATTGGTCCGAAGTAATCCAATCTCGTGAAAGTAAATGGACGACGATGGTGAGCAAGCCGCTGTGGAGGAAGATTTTATACGGCCTTAATCCTACCATATAGTCGTAAAAGGTTATCTTCTCTCATCATGGGCGACAATTTTCTGAGACGACTCGACTTTGCGATTGGTTGTAATTTCGTAATGCACTGGATCTCTTCTCTAAAACTGTCTTGTTGAAACGTTGCAAGACGTGTCGTTCTGTGGCAATCATTAGTTCTGCTGTCAAAGGTATTAAAGTGGTGGACGCAGAAGTTTCACGATAACCAGTGTGAACAACGTTATTAGAGCCAGAAATAGAGTGATCTAAAAATGAACAAAATTTTGAAACAACCTGCAAAACGCGAGCAGCGGCGCGAAGTAATCGGAGCAAATTAATGCTGAAGCGGACTCCAAAGGTAGTAGGCGAAGTAGGAGCACCTCTACTCGTATGACCAGAAACAGAACCTACGCTCGTTGAACAGGTGAGGTGTGCTGCTAATTGTGGAGCAGCAGCCTGAGGAGCTACTGGCGCGATGGCCGAATAACTAGGCTGTGAGACCTCATGACGTTCATCTCTAGTGTCGTGTATTTCAATATTACAATTATTTTTTACCCATTGTTCCGTTCTGGTCATACGAGTAGAGGTGCTCCTACTTCGCCTGCTACCTTTGGAGTCCGCTTCAGCATTAATTTGCTCCAGCTCGGCACGGTATTCAGCATCTTCGACTTCCGCAAGATGTCGTGCGAGTGCGGCCTCACGTTCATACTGGCGACGCTTGTGGACAGCTTCAGCAGCAGCCATCCGCGCCTTCACGCTCAAAGACGAAACACGAGATTTCGACTGCGCGGATCGCAAGCTGCAAGCTTGATCACCTTCATCTGCACAGACTCTATCTAAGCCTACATGAGACGGCTCGGCGTGAGATGTAGTAGAAGCGACGTTATGCGATGACATGATTTTACCTTTACTACGCGTGATCATTATATGAACTATACGATACTGCTATGTTTGAACACTACTACGTACGAAACTAAATACGGAATGAAAATGTTAGGTGTGATAGTTTACCTGTTCGCTGTGTAAAAGTTGCATTAAAAGCTACACTACATGAAAGGTCACCTAAAGAGGAGGTACTATTTACGTTGTTGACTGAAGCCGAAGCAATTGTTAACTCACGACCTCTTACTTATGTCTCGGTTGAATCCGATAGCGAGGAAACTTTAACGCCATTTCACTTTCTGATCGGTTCATCTTCCAATCAGATGACAGCCGGAGTGTTAGATGATACTGACTTGGGCCGAAGAGCGGATTGGAAGAAGGCGCTTCGTCTGGCTGATCACTTTTGGAATCGGTGGGTGAAAGAAATATTACCTACTATGCAGCCTCGTCTGAACGGTCGAAGAGATCGTAATTTGAACATTGGCGATTTGGTTGTGATCGTAGACGAGAATCTTCCAAGAGGAACGTGGCCCCGTGGACGTGTCGTTCTGTGGCAATCATTAGTTCTGCTGTCAAAGGTATTAAAGTGGTGGACGCAGAAGTTTCACGATAACCAGTGTGAACAACGTTATTAGAGCCAGAAATAGAGTGATCTAAAAATGAACAAAATTTTGAAACAACCTGCAAAACGCGAGCAGCGGCGCGAAGTAATCGGAGCCAGTCACTGAATCGAGTAAAGTCAGCAGTGATTAACACATGAACAGCTAATGGTTCTAAATGCTGTATGCGTTCCTCCTGAACTATGGGCTGACCAGCTGGTTCAACAAGCCAATCTTCTGGAGGACCAAGAAAAAATGAGTGCCCCATAAACCAACGGTGGTTTGAATTTAAATTAAGGGGTTTCATAGTTGTGACGTCATTAGCAATGTTCAAGCTAGTTGGAACCCATCTCCAATCCTGTATACGAGAATTCTCAGAAATTTCACCGATTCGATACAAGTGGCTTGAATGAACGCGCGCGTATAGAGTCGGAGGTGACACGATTATAATTATAATAAGTAACGGACACACATTCCTCTGCATACTCTTTACCTACCATATCATCTATAAATTTCCTATATGTTTCAGGTAACTCACGCTCATAATACATTCGTCTCTCCAAACTTAAGAAACGTGACATAGTTTGTAAATAACTATGTGAAATTTGTTTTATATTGTCACGCCAAGGAAGATCTATTTCAAATCTGCCAGTCGGTAGTCGCTTGACAGTAGATTCTAAAATTTCTAAGGCGCGTATATCCTGCTTGCTATGTAATGTTTCACGTTTTGAAACACCTACTGAGTCTATTATATATTGTTCTTTAACAAGGAGCTCTAACTGTTCATTATCAGAAATATCTGTTTTATCTAAAAACTGACAATGATTAATAAATTCAATAGGTATAGTTTTACTACAACTTATTCCATAAAATGTCCAACCTAACAAAGTACGACAAGCTACAGGTTCATTGCGTTTGCCTATACGAACTTCTCGAGTTATTGACAAATGCCAATCTTCGGCACCGATAAGTACAGTCGGTGTAGCATTATTATATGACAAGAAGTCAGCTATATCACATAAATGACTATAAGATGTCAAAGTTTCTTTTGACAAGGATTGCGCATGTAAATTAAGTGACACCATAGCTCTGGCTCGTTTTACTAAATAAATGTCAGACATAAACTTACCTTTTATATGGAAATCTACGTAACTTATAGTTGTGTTCTTATGTAGACCACCTATGCCATTAACAGTAATAGGTTCCTGAGGACCTGATAATCCAATTTGAGTGGCAACGCTAGCATCAATCAATGTAGCCGTGCTACCATCGTCTAGCAAAGCGTATGTGTCTAAGCTACCAGTTGGACCGAAAATAGTAATAGGTAACACTTTTAATAAAACATTAGATGTTGACGGAGAATGTTCAGTTTGCCATACGCCGGTATTACTAATAATAACCTTATCCTCCAAAGGTGCAGTGGTAGAAGGTGAGGATACGCCTTGACTCACAGTGGCACACACTGTGTCATTTATGTGCAGTGTATCAGGTGCAGGTGGTGACATTGACGTATCCTGTCTACCATGAAGTAGAGGATGATGCCGAAAGGAGCAGCCATTAATACCACAAGGTTTTACCTTACACGTCTTCCATAGATGTGATGAGCGACGTAGACATCTGTAGCAAACCTTGAACTCTCGCAACCAACTCCATCTTTCATCGACTGACAAGGATTTAAATTTATCACAATATTTAATGTTATGATTATTTTTACAATAAACACATCCTATCTTAGAATTTGTTTTAATTTTAGAGTGAGAAGTAGAATGAATAATTTCACGTCTGAATTGTTTATTAGCAACTTGACCTACGTGCAATTGTTGTGTTGCTAAAGAGAGAGCCAATTCAGGAGATAAAGCGAAGTTAGTATGACGCTCGTGTTCACGCGTCAAAAATTGTGACAAAACTTCTAGCTTAGAAAGGTGTGGGTTCGACCTACTAAATTCTGATGCATAATCACTCCATCTCATTTTAGTGTTAGGGTTCAATTTTCCTAAAATGACATGAAATAATTCTGGTGAATGTAAATATTCACTATGATTGAGTAGTTTTATAGTAGAAAGACTATTCCGTACCTTATTAGCAATAGTACTTAACTCTTTAAGATCGTTACCTAATCGAGGTAGCGACTTCAATAATTGTACCTCACTGAAAACAATCATTTCTGGTGACGCAAAACTTCGTTCGAGTGCGCACATGATCTCTTCAGGATCCTCTGCAGAGACGAGAAGCGAAGCGACGGCTTCTCGTGCGGGTCCACGAAGCGCATTTTGTAAACGCGCAACGTTCTCTACAGGGGAATAAAATGATTTAGTACTAGCAAATATTTTTTTGAATTATAACCACAGTAATGGACTGCCTGTAAATGGGAACAACTCTATATTAGAATGTTTAGGCATGTTGTGAGCTGTGGCTAAGGCTTTCGCTGCGTCTGCCATGTTGGCCGTAATTTGTAAAAATAACTGAGAATTGACATCATTGTTACCAACGGTCACGTGGTCACGTTCCCCTACGGGATGTACCAGAAAGGGTGGCGATACACTCGCCTGTACTGGTACATGAGAAACAGAACCTACGCTCGTTGAACAGGTGAGGTGTGCTGCTAATTGTGGAGCAGCAGCCTGAGGAGCTACTGGCGCGATGGCCGAATAACTAGGCTGTGAGACCTCATGACGTTCATCTCTAGTGTCGTGTATTTCAATATTACAATTATTTTTTACCCATTGTTCCGTTCTGGTCATACGAGTAGAGGTGCTCCTACTTCGCCTGCTACCTTTGGAGTCCGCTTCAGCATTAATTTGCTCCAGCTCGGCACGGTATTCAGCATCTTCGACTTCCGCAAGATGTCGTGCGAGTGCGGCCTCACGTTCATACTGGCGACGCTTGTGGACAGCTTCAGCAGCAGCCATCCGCGCCTTCACGCTCAAAGACGAAACACGAGATTTCGACTGCGCGGATCGCAAGCTGCAAGCTTGATCACCTTCATCTGCACAGACTCTATCTAAGCCTACATGAGACGGCTCGGCGTGAGATGTAGTAGAAGCGACGTTATGCGATGACATGATTTTACCTTTACTACGCGTGATCATTATATGAACTATACGATACTGCTATGTTTGAACACTACTACGTACGAAACTAAATACGGAATGAAAATGTTAGGTGTGATAGTTTACCGAAGAAGGACCAAAAATTTGGGTTTAAAAGGAAAATAACTATAATACAGAAAACTACGGAATATAGACTACGACAGCAAAGAGCAAAAGTGACAATTGGTGGAAACAAAAGTATAAAAATACAATAAAAATAAAAACCTTTAAAAATAACTAAGGAGTTCGCAACAAACATTGATAAACTTTTTAGCACAAAAAGTGGTCTAATGAGGCCAGTTAGAAGCGAGTAGAATACATTAGTGAGTATGCAATGTATACAATAGTATATAGTACACACATGTAAGCATTTTCAGATCAGTCAAGTAGACATTTATTGACATATATCACCTAAATGATCACATTAATTCTCATTTCCTATAAACCTAAACCGAATGTTTGAGCTTAACCTAGACACAAATCTATTTATAAGAGTTCTTTTCTATGTTAACAAGGCAATTCCGCAAACCAGAGACTTCGGGGGGGAAAGGGATTGTTAGTAATGGAGACTGAGAATCCCATTGCTAGCAATATACCGAACCAGGTCGACCTCCTCGCGGTTCCCCCTGGAAACTATCACGATTAATTCCTGATGAATTTATCATGATGGGCTAACTGGCTTGTTTTCATTCTCACCTATCACCCTTCACTGGTGCTCCGCCAGCGTATCCCATTAGCGCAGGCGGGGTTGCTGTTACCATACCATTTTCACTAATAAAAAAAAAACCAGAGACTTCGTTCACGTAAAGCAATGTGCACACAATTCTGAATATAACTAGTGAATGAAGCTCGAAATAAGAAAATAGGAAGCGATGTTTGTGAAATACATTGTACATCACACATGTTGTCATATAAATCTCCAAAACAAATTCGAAAATTGATTTTTTTATATAAAATTGATATAAAATCTAGTAGATATTTTTATTCAAAAATATACAAAAATATTCATTTTTATTAAAAAAAAAGCGAAGCCTTACGTAAACGTACTTAATAATATGTATTTACAAAATAAGATATACGAGTAATATTATAAATTGTACATTTGACGTATTACATTCCATCCAAGGTTACGATTTCTAATATAACCATGGTTTCTACTTTCTAGCTTTTTGTAAAGAAAAAATCTGCGATGTACATTTACTTCCATACTTGCTCGCAGCCTTGCTAGCAAAAGAAAAGTCTTTTCCGGAAACTAGGGTGGCAGAATGAAAAAACATTCTGATGAAATTCTGATGTCGTAATGTGGTCCCAACAATATAGTAGATGTTTTGTATCTACGTAGTAGAGTGTTCTTCTATCTTGAATTCCTTTGTTTGAGTTTATAGGGTTGAATCGTTCAAGTTTTCAAATTAAAACGTCATTTGCACTTTTCTATAAATAATGATTTGATTATGAATAGATCGTTAATTTTTCCTTTCTTTGAATATTCACAAACCCATGGAAAATTTTCGTTTTTCCTTAAAATTAATAATGTGTTATTATTAATTTTAAGGAACAAGGAACAACATTAAAATAAAGAAAAATAATTACATAAAGAAAGTTATTAGTTACACTGGACATTTTGAAATTTTATCCCAAGAAGAGATAGATAATGTAAGGTAAGACGTGTGACGGCTGGTGTGTATTAGCGGAAGGAAGGAAAACTTATTGCACCAAACCCAAATAATGAGGGGGGAGAGGTGATTGATTATAACGGTGACTAGCGATCCCATTGCTATTAATATGTCCTGACAGGTTGACCTCCACGCGGTCTCACTTTGAAACCATCATAGTTAATTCCCAGTGGATCCATCACGATGGACCCACTGACCTGATTTTATTTTCACCTGTCCTTCCTCATTGGTACCTCGCCAGCGTAAACCAATAACCAACGTAATAATAACTCGGGGTTAATAATTAATTTTTATTAATTAAAATTCAAATAATGTCATAAAGGTAAGGCAATTATGATAATTACGAAGTATAAAAATAGTAAAGACATTTGTTTCTCAATTGCGGGTTAATTTTGAATTAAATTTAACATACAAATGTGCTATATCCTAAATTATAAAAAAGAATATTTTTTATCCTAGTTGAAATAAGGAAAACCGCGAGTTTCAGATAGTAAGGAAATAAATAATAGGGCCCATAACTCTTATAATGTGCTTCTATTTCCGTATTATGTGAAGGGCTTAAGAATTCCATAGAATGAACGACAAAAGGCACAACAGGTCCTCAGTAGTGGCAATTTAAGAAGGGTACCATGGGTGGGTGAAAGTATTTGCTATGTAATCTGTGAAGTATGTGATGCTGTTCATCTCTATATATGGTTACAGCTTCTTATTAGTTGGGTCCTGATTTTGTATACTATCGTTATAAGGTCCATCATTTTGGACCTTATAATGATAGTAAAAAAACTGCATAAACAATATTATATTATAAGACATATCATTGATGTTATTTCATTTTTCTTCTATAAATGTACCTACCTATTAATATATACGTGTAATCAATTGTTTTAAATTTAAATCACTAACTATATTCTTTGAACGACTAAGGACCCACTGATAAATAACATGTATGGTAATTTATGTAGAGGGTCACAGTAAAAAATAATATCCTTTAGAACAACAATATATATAATACGTATAGATACATGACGAGACAACCATTTGAATAGAAACGAAAACCATATAAAAAAAAAATATCGACATATATATGTGGCCAGACTTACATTTACATCATGGCCACAAAGAAGTTTCAATAATTTATCGTATAATAAACACATTAAAACTAAATAAATAAAATATGCAAGTATAGAAAATGCCACCTATTTTTCAGTATTTTTATATACAAGCTATATATACAATTCTATATGTTTTAGGTAAATATTACTAAGTATCTACTTAGAAGAACTGATCCATGAAAGGCCTTCTCTATCGCCCTCCTTCCAAGTGAAACCAGCAAAAACGTCTCTGAGGCGCAATTTATGCGCAAACTTCAGAGGATCCCGTACAGACCTATAATCGTGCCTAACTAACGCACTTCATTATAAAGTAGGAAACAAGCAAAATTTGTTCAGTCAGATGTTGCCTGACAGATCTTTTGATCATCGTGGTGGTGAGCCTGAGGCAACTTGTGATATGACAAAAAAGAGACCATTAAATTTAATAATTATTTAAGTGTAGCTGTAACAATGACTTTAATTGCGTGAATTTAAATTAAATGTGTATAATGTTTTTAAATTTTTTTGTCATATAACTTAGAATGACAAAGAAGATAAGAACTTAACTGATGTAGAGTGTCAATTGTTACCTATAGACATGAACAAACTCATGAGTATTTTAGAACGTAGTGATTCTTCTAAGATATTAATGCTTATTTACTCAGTATGTAATTACTATGTCCTAACGAAAACACTTCATTCAATATTATATTTTTATGGACCAAAACGGAACATGTCGTAAAATGACTCACTTCATAATTAAATACTGCTAAAAATGAAAATGTACTTTCAAAACTTGCGTTTATAATCGTACACTATATAAAATGAATAAAAAAAACATTTCAGAGTTTTGCTCAAAGAATAAGATGACAAATAACAGAAGAAAGAAAAACAAAGGACAATGAAATAAAAATAAATAATTCCCTAGAGACGTATACAGTACAGTATATAGTTTCATGAGATAGCAAGCGTTCACTCACGTACATGACGCACGAAAAGACACTCATGGATCCGTGTTTTGAGTTACACAATCAGTTCACATATTAAAAGACCCATCTTTTTTATTATGATGTACTCAGTTACAGATATTTTATCAATAAATTATGCCGTTTCATGTATGGCGTAGACAGAGACTACATATTATCCTATCTTTCATACCTTCTTACATACCTTTGCTATCACCACATTCACGGTCATTCAACTAAAGACCATTCTGTGTACTCCTAATTTGACGTCTACTTAAAATATCTTATAAGTTTAGTTAATCTATTTTATTTACATTTATGCGTAAGTATATTAAAAATAAATATTAACACACATTTTCTATAACCTACATTATTTATTTTTTATTATTATATATTAAATAATTATTAGATATTTTTCTCGGTAAAAATTTATTACTTAAACTTTTAATTTATTGAATACTATGTATACATATTCGTTGGATCACACTAAAACAAATATTTCTACAGAATTATGATTTTGAATTTTGATGAAAGTAAAATTTAAGTTGATTTAATTATAAAATAAAGCAATCGCTACACGTTACCGAATAGTTGTACATTGTTAAAAATAATTTAGCAGAGATATTCTCTCGCATAACCAATTTCGACTTTCATTTTCATTCGATAAACTCTATATAATATATATATATATATATACTATAATACGATAATATATATACATATATATACATACATATATATATATATATATATATATATATATATATATATATATATATATATATATATATATATATATATATATATATATAATAAGTGTCTTATCCTCATATATACCCGAATGAATGAATACGATGGGCTATAATACACTTGAAGTGAGACGGAAATTAAATTTAAATCATTATATATTAAAATTTGTAAGAGGGAAAAAATGTAAGCAAACTACTGGTATCAATATCAATAAAATACAATACAGCACACGTGCAATGCTGTTAGTGTTGTGGGTGATCATGGGCGGCGGTAGTCACTTACCGCCAGGTGAACCGCATGTTCGTTTGCCCCCTATGTTGTTAAAAAAAAAGGAGCACCCGCTAACTACGTGCCAGCACGTAGAAGGCACTTATTTGATATTCCATTAAGAAAAACAGAGTTGGCTAATCAAACTCCTCTCTCTCTTGCATTGAAACTGCTCCATGATGTATTGAGCCCGTGTCCACAATTGGACGTGTTTGCCTCCAACTTGC